TTCTTACCTGTCCAATATTTAGAAATAATGGACTATTTAGAAATACCTGAATTTTTAAAATTTTATTCATGTTTTTATCTATTCCCTTTGCTCTCATGCTCTCATCTACCTGTAGATCTGCTGTGTGAGAGCTGTCTTCCTTAAATATTGTTCCAGTTTTTCCTCTCTTTTCTATAAGACCTGGTAAGACTGCTTTATAGTTTTTATAATCATAGCCCTTATTTAAGTTGAGATATTGGTATCAGGGAAGGCCAAGGCCATTGGAGTCCCAAACTTCCTGTGCATAATTCAAATATTTTCATGTTATAACCTTCTTGATTCATTGGTGCAATTCTCTAATTCTGGCTGCCTCAGGCAACTTGACTTTATTACATTAATAGTTCACACTGTGATTGAATCAAGAAAAGAATGTAAAACAAAGAATTACAGAAAAGAATGTAAATGCACTTGAGCATTTCCTTATCTGTAAATGAGGAACAATAATTGTTCATGTTAAGTCTTTGGAAAGAAGCTTCTGTAATTATTTTACTACATTCTTATTCATTTTTCATTTTATTGATCTGGGCTGCCTCCAGGTGCACATGAGCAGGAATTGGATCAGAAGTGGAGTGGTCAGACTGACCAGGCACTGTGACACCGGTTGCAAGCTTCCCACCTGAGGCTTCATTCACTGCAGCAAATACAAGCTGCTTGTGCCAGTACTGATTTAGGGATCCTTAAATAGTTTTCTTTAAAACTTACCTGTGAAGTGTTTGGGGGCTCATTGGAGTGGTGAGCAGAATGTGAATAACAATAAAGAGATATAAAAAGCAAACAGAGGGGCTGGCATTGTGACATAACAAGTTAAGCTGCCACCTGCAACACTGGCATCCATATAGGGGCAGTTCAAGTCCTGTCTGCTCCATTCCCCATTCAGCTCCCTGCTAATGTGCCTGGGAAAGCAACAGAAAGTGGCCCTAGTAGTTGGGTTCCTGCCACCCATATGGACACCTGGATGAGGTTCCTAGATCCTGGTTTAGGCCTGGCCCAATAATGGCCATTGTGGCCATTTGGGGGAGGAACCAGCAGATGGAAGATTCTCTCTCTCTCTCTCTCTCTCACTCTCACTCTCACTCTCCTTCTCTCTCTCTCTCTCTCTCTCTCTCTCTCTCTCTCACCTCTCTCCTATCTCTGTAATTCTGCCCTTTCAAATAAAGAACTTTTTTTAAAGCAAATGGAGAAATAGTGATAAAACACGGTGTATGTGAAGTGTTCAGTATAGTGCTCAGGAGCACTCTATGAGAGAGGAAACATCAGTCAGCTTAAGACTGAGCCCCTGGAATACAAATCAAAGGAACCAAGGGAGAAGAATGAGATAAGTAGAGAGCACAAGAGGGTATCACAGGAGGACTGTCAGCAGAGCAATATATTCATAATGCAAGTTCCACAATAAAAAGAAACGGAAATAGCATCCAGTACCCAGCCCTGTGTCTATGTTTTGGATTAGAGCAATTTACAAGTAAGGTTTCTATTTTTGAGATCCATACATTTCAAGCAATATTTCTTAGTGGCAAAAAAATCAACCTTCTTAGCATTGTTTCATTGTTCATTTCTTTCCTGTATATAGTAACTTTAGGGACACTCACCTAAAGAGTGTTAGAAGAACAGGAATATGTGTGATAAGTTCATGATTGCAGTAAAATGTTTAAGACAAAAATATAACAGCGTCACTCATCCACCTTTCATCCTAATCAGAGGAAAATAACTTTCAGCCCTGTTTTATTCAAATACTATGCAAAAAAATCCCAAATATAAAATATTGATCATTTCTATTGATTGCTGGGGGTGCAGTATCTGGATTTTATTCAATGCAGGGGCCAGTGCTGAGGCATATGGGTAAAGCCCACGCCTGCAGTGCCAGCATCCATATGGGCGCTGGTTTGAGTCCTTGCTGCTCCACTCCTAATCCAGCTCTCTGCTGTGTCTTGGGAAATAGTCAAAGATGGCCCAGGTGCTTGGGCCCCTGCACCCATACGGGACCTGGAAGAAGGTCCTGGCTCCTGGCTGCAGATCAGTGCAGCTCCAGCCATTGCAGCCAACTGGGGAGTTAACCTGCAGATGGAAGACCTAACTCTCTCTCTCTCTCTCTCTCTCTGCTTCTGCCTCTATAATTCTGCTTTCCAAATAAATAAATCTTTAAAAATATATTAAATGCAATGTTCATAATGAGAAAGTTTTTTTATGCTCCATTCATCTTCATAAATTTTCACCATTTTTCTGATTTTGTGCTTTTATGAAACGAGATACATACTCAAAAAAGTGGGCTACCTTTTAAAATTCTTGTCCAATATTGATCCTAACCAGGACCTGGTGTACTTTAAATTTTAATAAGTGGCCGGCGCCCTGGCTCACTAGGCTAATCCTCCACCTTGTGGCGCCAGCACCCCGGGTTCTAGTCCCAGTCGGGGCGCCAGATTCTGTCCTGGTTGCCCCTCTTCCAGGCCAGTTCTCTGCTGTGGCCAGGGAGTGCAGTGGAGAATGGCCCAAGTCCTTGGGTCCTGCACCCCATGGGAGACCAGGAGAAGTACCTAGCTCCTGCCATCGGATCAGCGTGGTGCTGCCATGGCCATTGGAGGGTGAAACAATGGCAAAAAGGAAGACTTTTCTCTCTGTTTCTCCTCTCTCACTGTCCACTCGGCCTGTCAAAAAAAAGATTTAATATGTATACTTGGACCAATACATAAAATCATACATTATCACTGATCCCATAGATGGCATTAGTGCATTGTGCTATCTGAATCATTAAAGATAACTAGCATTTAGGAGGTATTTTCTATTTTTCATTTTTCTGAAAAAATTTATTTATTTGAAAGGCAGAGTTACAGAGAGGCAGAGACACAGACAGGGATCACCCATCCCCTGGTTCACTCCCCAAAAGGCCACAACTGCTAGAGCTGGGCCAGGCCAAAGCCAGGAGCCTGGAATTCCATCCAGGTCTCCACACCGAGACCGATGGCAGGAGCCCAGGCACTTGGGTCATCACCCACTGCCTTCTCAGGTACAGTTTGCACAGAGCTGGACCAGAAGTGGGCAGCAAGGACAGGAACCTGCAGTCACATGAGATGCTAGCATTGGGTTGGTGATTTAACCTGCCTTGCTACAATACTGGCCCCAGCATCACTGTGTTGAATGATGTTTGTGGATGCTAGAAAGCTTGGGAACTGAATCTGGGTCCAGATGAGGACTCCGAAGTGACTGGGAGGCCCTCAGAGCCATCACTGGCTTGGCCAAGGCTAAGAGCTCCAAGCTTATAACCTGGTGACCTTGCAGAGAGTGCCTAATCAAGAAGAGAGAAATCTCTGGCTGTAGCCAGAGTTCTCCATTTGCTGCCTGGAGGCACTGTGGAAATTTCCCTTCATTGAGGCCAGAATCTGTAACCCTGAAGTTTCCTAATTCTCGGGAAGGTCCTTCAGAAACCTAAGCATTTTCTCCTTAGCCTAAAGCTCTCCTGTGGTCAGATCTCCCAAGGGGCTCTATCCTAAAGCAGATGAGAATTTCTTGTTGAATAAACAGAACCATGAGGTGTCATCTAAATGGAATATGTCATCTTATGAGCCTATGCTCATGGGTATATTGGAAGGTGAGAAAGTGGAGGGAGGTAAAGTGGGTCATGGGAAGACTTCAAAGGTGTTTTATTATGTTCATTTTAATTTTAATTAATTTTAACAGATTCAATATGATTTGTGGATGTAAGTCTAAGAACATAATGAAATTCCCCTCCTCCCTCCCTCCCTTTTTCCCTCCTTCCTACCGTCCTTCCTTTTACCTTTCTTTGTTTTTAGTTTTTGAGATGACATATTTTAAATTTACATTACAGTACACTGGCTTACTACTTCACTGAATATGAAGCTTAAGTAAAAGCAAAAAGAATATAGTTTAGTAAGAATATAGATAATAGCTTAAACAACAATTGAATGGAAAAATGACCATTTCACCCCATAATTCGCGGTGGTTTTTGTCATTTAATTCATTCATAATTTTTTCAGTAAAATAGAACCAATGACAAAGTAACACCTAAATATTTCTGTGTGTTTATAAGATAATTAAGTTCATTTTAGACTTTAAGCCATTTCCTCCAACAGTTTATGTACATAATAATTTTATGCATATTGCAATGCAAATAATCATACACTACATTTTGTGTACTATAATAGTTATCACAGATCATGAAACACATATGTATTGGTCTTGTGGGGACAGGCTTATTTCACTAAGTATGATGATTTCCAGTTGCATCCATTTTGTTTGTGAAAGACAGAATTTCATTCTTTTTTACAAGCTGAGTGATATCTGGCAGTGTATACAACATCCACATTAGCAGGGAGCTGGATCAGAGTCAGGATTCAAACCTGCACCCACGTGGGACACCAGCACCACAGGCAACAGCTTTACTCACTACACACCTGCACCAGCCCCAAGTATAATGTTTAATTCATATAGACAACACACTCACATAAGGTACTAGGTTTCCATTGCCTTATGCTTTCTTTGTATTTGGAACCTATAAGCTCCTGTGTTCTACTCCTTCATAAAATACTGTTGTGAATGATAGTCACCCCGCTGTAATGTAGAGCACTAGAATTTCTTACCTCTGTCTCACTATATTTTGGTACCCAGTATCCAGTCGCCCAAATTTTTCACAGCTGTATCCAGGTACCTAGAAGATCTGGTACACTATAGATTCCAGTAAATATTGTCGAGTGAATGAATTTGGTAAGCAGCAGCTCTGGTTAATGGTAAAGTGAATTCACTTAAAAGCAGTAGTTTCTGAATCTCACTTGAATGATTGTATTGACATGCAGGAGTGCAAACTCCAACCAAGGTGTAGTAATGTAAAAATGTAAAGGGAAGGGTAGAAGGGAGTAGAAAAAGGGTAAGAGGAATCACCATACGCTTCACACCAAGTACTCACAGGGTAGTTTTGACTGAAGACGAGAGAACAGAGTGGTAAGCATCAAAACTCTGTACAGTTCAGAGGCGGCATATATTTGTCCCACTGCTGTGACTTCCGGCAGCTCCCAAATCCAGGAACGATGTTCCCATCACTGAACATGGAGTGTGAACCCGAGAAGACTTTGTAAAGCTCTCTTAATGTCCGTGTTCCTCAGGCTGTAGATGAAGGGGTTCAACATGGGAGTGACCACAGTGTACATCACCGAGGCCACCATGCCCTTCCAGGAAGAGGATGAGGCATCAGAACTGAGATACACCCCAAGGCCTGTCCCATAGAACAGAGAAACCACAGTTAGATGAGACCCACAGGTGGAGAATGCTTTGTATCTTCCACCAGTCGATGGAATTTTCAGAATGGAGGAGACAATTCGCATATAGGAGAAAAGGATCCCTGAGAGGGGAACAAAGCCAAGAAGAGCAGTCACCACGTAGAGCAGGGTGTAATTGATGAATGTGTCAGAGCAGGCAAGTACCAGGACCTGAGCAAGTTCACAGTAAAAGTGTGCAACTACCCACCTGGTGCAGAAGGACAGCCTCAGCATCAACAGGGTCTGGATCAGGGCACACGACAGACTGATGCACCAGGACACAAGAACCAGCAGGCCACAGAGACGGGGATTCATGATGACTGGGTAGTGCAAGGGGTGGCAGAGGGCCACAAAGCGATCATAGGCCATCCAGGTGAGGAGAAGTGTGTCCATGCCCCCAAAAACCATGAAGAAGTACATTTGAGTGATGCAGCCTGCGAAGGTGATGGAATAGTTCTGAGTCTTGATGTCCTGCAGCATCTTTGGGATGGTTGTAGAGATGAAACAGATGTCAGCCAAGGACAGGTTGGAGAGGAAGAAGTACATGGGCGTGTGGAGGCGGGCATGGGAGCCGATGGCCAGGATGATGAGCAGGTTTCCAAGCACCGTGACCACAAGCATGAGCAGGAACAAACCAAATAGCAGAGGCTGGTGCTTTGAGTCTTGAGAAAAGCCCAGGAGTAAAAATCCTAAAATACTTGTTCGATTTCCTGGTTCCATGTTGTTGACACATCAGCTAAACAATTCAGGAAAAGAAGGCATGTGAAATAGACAATGAGCAGCCTTTCAATTCTCTCTGAATTTTCAATTCTTGAGGTGAAGTATTGAGGAAAACAATCTTACTGTTACAAAACTTAGGAATTTTAGTCTGTCTCTTGTTATAGGCAACATTTTGTAATGCTGACCAATCTCTGTCCATTAGCCTCTGGGAGACAAATCTATTCCCTTTGGTTTTGTGTGTGTGTTGTTTTATTTGAAAGGCAGAGTTACAAAGAGGCAGAGGCAAGAGAGAGGTCTTCCATCCACTGGTCCACTCCCTAGATGGCCACAGCTGCTGGAGCTGTGCAGATCCGAAGCGAGGAGACAGGAGCTTCTTCCAGGTCTCCCACATGGATGCAGGGGCTCAAGCACTTGGGCTACCTTCCACTGCTTTCCCAGGCCATATCAGAGAGCTAGATGAGAAGTGGAGCAGTCAGGACTCGAACCAGTGCCCATATGCAATCTGGCACTACAGGTGGTGGCTTTAGTCACTATGCAACAGCACTGGACCCTCACCTATTCCCTTTATATCTGACTTAGAGTCAAGGACAACAAAAAGCAATTTTAGATCTTAGGGATAAAATAGCCCACATCTTCACTAACACATAAGAAGCCCAGTGATCTAAAGGAAAGGTATTGGCCATCTTGCTTGTCTGGGGCACATCTGAAACCAGAAAACCACATCTGGGTAGTAAGAAAATGTGAGAGCAGGGACAATATCTAGATAAAATATTGCAGGATAAGTAGGATGATGACTTACTTTCCAAGGTAAAGGAAGGAAGAAAGGGGAGGAGGGAGGAGAGAGGTGTGCATATTAGCAGGAAGCTAGCATTAGGAGCAGAGCCAGAACTCAGCCCAGGCTCTGTGATGTAGGATGCAGGCATCCCCCAAAAAAACATCTTAACTAACCACTGCATCAAATGCCCACCTGCCTTACTTATTTTATTGAACAGATGGGCCATGGCCAGGATTCTGGTGTTCCCTGGAATGTACTCTGCATGTTCATATCATCAACAGCATTGCAAAATAAAACAATTCCATTCCCTGCTAGGTCTATTGCAGGGACTTCCTTCCAAGTGTCCAGCCTGATAACACATCTTTCTAAAGTGAACATCAAGATGTATTACTCTCTGCTAAAATCTTGAGATGTCTTTCTGGCACTGTCTTTCTGATTCTGTTCAGGATGCTGTCGGGAAAAATTACTAACAAGGTGGCTGGCTTACAGATGACAGAAATTGCATGTGAGATTTCTAAGAGTCAGTGAGCCCTCTCTTATTTATTCTATTTCCTTAAGCACTTGTAGATCCTCACAAAAATAAATTTGTCCCTTATTTCCATTTTCCATGAAGTTATGAAGTTTTATCATATGGTCCATGTGAACATTCAGGTTTTAGAACTATTTTCATGAAAGTAATTATTTGGCCAGAGAAAGGTTCTATTTCTGGGATAATCAAATCTTATTCTTTTAGTCTACATTAAAAAGTTAAGACAATGAAAAATGTACAGTGGAAAACATAATTGTGGAGTGCAGCATTGTAGCACAACACTTGCATTGCCATCATCCATTCTGGCTGCCCTGCTTCCAATTCAGCTCCCGGCTAATACACCTGGGAAAGCTCTGCCACCCACATGGAAGACCCCTATGGAATTCCTGGCTCCCAGCTTTGGTGTGGCCCAGCCTTGACTATTGCAGCCATTTGGGAAGTGAACTAATGGATGGAAGATCTCTCTCTTTCTCTCTCTTTCTCTCTCTCTCTCTCTCTCTCTCTCTCTCATGTGTGTTTGTGTGTGTGTGTGCACATGCACATGCCCCTCTCCCTCTGACACTCTGCCTTTCAAATCAATGAATCTTGGTATATATTTAAAAATAGCACCAGCCAAATGATGATTCAAATGAGTCATGACATGATGGTTAGGAATATCTTAAACTGCCCATGTATTAGAAACTTTCTGCCTACCTTTGGACCAAGGGTTAGACATCAGAAGCTCAGAGGATAGTCACATTCATCCTAGTCCCTTTGTCCATGCATCAAATGAGTATGCCCTATTCTACTTTTACTGCCTAGAGTCAGAGGGCAGTTGTGCTAAACTATGTTAGGAATAACCAAAGAATAAATGAGGGCTAGCGCTGTGGCGCAGTGTGTTAATACCCTGGCCTGAAGCGCCGGCATCCCATATGGGTACCGGTTTGAATACCAGCTGCTCCGCTTCCCATCCAGCTCTCTGCTTCGGCCTATGATAGTAGAAGATGACCCAAGTTCTTGGACCCTTGCATTCACATGGGAGACCCGAGGAAGCTCCTGGCTCCTGGAGCTCGCTCGCTTGCTCTCTCTCTGCCTCTCCTTTCTCTGTGTAACTCTGATGTTCAAATAAATAAATAAATCTTTAAGAAAAAGAATGAATGAGGCAGCTTGTCAGTCACTGAACAAGTCCTGGAAACCATTCTGCAAGAAAGGAGTCTGGGCCAGGCTTTGTGTAAGCTGTTGTGATATGAAGATTAAGAGTGTGGCCTTTGTATTCATGGTCCAGCCTCCAAGGTGCAGAGATAGTTGCAGAAAACAGTAATTGTAACACAGAGAATTAAGTGGTAAGGTGGATTACTGTGTGGAATACAGAGAGGAGCTCTAAATTGAGAAGAGGGATGAGAGATGTCTGAATGCAAGAAGCAAGAAGCAAAGTGTTCAGGCACTTTGCTCTTTTTTTTTTTTTTTTTTGACAGGCAGAGTGGACAGTGAGAGAGAGAGACAGAGAGAAAAGTCTTCCTTTGCCATTGGTTCACCCTCCAATGGCCGCTGCGGGCAGCATGCTGCAGCCGGCGCACCGCGCTGATCCGATGACAGGAGCCAGGTACTTATCCTGGTCTCCCATGGGGTGCAGGGCCCAAGGACTTGGGCCATCCTCCACTGCACTCCCTGGCCACAGCAGAGAGCTGGCCTGGAAGAAGGGCAACCGGGACAGAATCTGGCGCCCCGACCGGGACTAGAACCCGGTGTGCCGGCGCTGCAAGGCGGAGCATTAGCCTAGTGAGCTGCGGTGCTGGCGCACTTTGCTCTTAAGTAGAAAGTGGTAGATGAGAACGATCAAGAATGATGTTGGAGAGATGGGCACAGATGACATCTCAGAACCTGGAAAGGGAAATTGCACAGAGAATGGGGCTGTGAAGGGAATAAAATACAGGGAGGGCTGGAGAGAGAATGAATGAATGAATACAATCAAAGGACTAATGTGATATGAATTACAATTATTGCTGGTACCTGGAGGGAAAGATGAGTTTGGGGCAGACATAACATATGGGGAGTCTTCACATCATTTGAATTGAAGGGACCCACTGAAGAATTATGTTGCCTAAGAAAGACAAGCATCAAGAGAGGTGCACAAGGAAATCAAGGGAAATCACGGGAAAGGGATATGGTGGGTTCCAGTGCACCCCTGCCATCCCCAAGAATTAAAGCAGGGGATGTCAAGAGGGAACATGGCATTGGGCTTGCCTGTGTCCTTCCCTTTTCCTCTCACAGCCCAACCAAGGATTTCTGTACCACAGTCCAAGGTGCTAGGGAATCCAGCCTCTGCTTTCTTGAAGGAATCTAATAAGAGCCCTGGATAAGGGTTAAGAGAGAAGGACAAGGACAGGTCTTTCTGGAAAGCAGGAAATGTTCCTAAGCAAGTGTGGGTCACAGAATTCAGAAGGCTTGGTCTGGGGGTGGTGGAGAATGGAGGATTTGGAGTTCTCGGGTCAGGTAATAAGAGAATAGATCTAGAAGGGTCCAGGACTTTGCTGTTAAAAATCTACAGTTCTATCAGGACCTTGGGGCATCCATCTGTGCAAATTGGACTGGAAATCACAACAGTAGACCATGTGGTCCAGGGCAGTGAAATGGCCAACAAAGACTAGCACCTCTCATCATCTTCTCAACCATGCCCACAAACAAAACACAACCAAAGTGAAAACTCACTACACAGTGGCCGCTATCACTGAGTAGTCTAATCATTCTTCCTTCCCAGAAATTACATTCAGCAAGTCTTTCTCCATGAACATTACAGAGTTTACCCTACCTTATACTTAACAATAGGCAATGCCCTTTCCCCTCCCCTAGTTTCCTCAACACTTACCAGGCTATGCAGGCTCAGCAGCATGAACCCACCGAATCAAATGTCTAGAATCTCTTTCTCTTGTAGAGGGTGGACGATAAAAACAGAAGGTCTGGCCCCCAGCAGAGTGTGAGATAGAGCCAGGCATGTGGTACAGGGCCTGGATCACTTCTTCTAGAGATGATGTGAGTGTCTCGAGTGTGGGACCTTGATGACTATAAATTAGTGAGTTCCAAGTTGTGTCCTGGAGGCTGTATCCCCTCTGAAGCTGATTAGAATAATTGATCAGTGATGTGTTCATTCTCTGATCATTTTGGCTCCTAAGGACAGGGACAACACAAACAGGAGTCTCTACCCTGCCAATTCATTATCCCTGGGAGACTAACACTGAAGACATCTGTAATTGCTCTCTCCCACATTCTTCACCTCTGGGAAAAATTAATCTTCCTCAGATCATTTCTTGGTGACAAATATGGCAGCGTTTTTGACTTCTAGATTCCTAATAAGATGATAGTTGAGTAGAAAGAGTCCCAGGATTCACTGGAGCAGTGATGTCAAAATCTAGCCTAAACCAGGACTGCCTCAATATTTGTATTTTTTAAAGATTTATTTATTAAGTTGAAAGAGTTAATATATATCATATTATAATATATTACTATATAATATATATTATATATAATATATTCTTATATATTATATATTATATTATAAATTATATATAATTATATATTATATAATTTTTATAATTTGAGACAGCATCTTTTAAATTTACATTACAGTAAAAAGGCTTAATACTTCATCAAATAAGTTTAACAAGTAAAAAGCAAAAAGACCCTAGTTTAGTGGGAATATAGACAATGATTATAATAATTAAATGGAAAAGTGACCATTTCACACATATACACCAAATGTTAATCACAAATAAAAAATACACATTTTATTTCTTGAACTATTTGTTAACACTTTATAATGGTTTTATATTTGTGTGTGTGTGTGTGTACATACAGATACATAACAAAATACAGCATTTAACCATTTTCAAAAATGTTCCTTGGGAGCTGGCACTGTGGTACAGTGGGTTAAAGCCCTGGTCTGAAGCTTCGGCATCCCATATGGGCACCAGTTCTAGTCCTGGCTGCTCCTCTTCCAATCCATTTCTCTGCTATGGCCTGGGAAAGCAGTGGGGGATGTCCCAGGTCCTTGGGCCCCTGCACCCATGTGGGACACCTGGAGGAAGCTCTTGGCTCTTGACTTCAAATCAGCTCAGCTCTGGCTGCTGCAGCCATCTTGGGAGTGAACCAGCAGATAGTGGACCTCTCTCTCTGTCACTTCCTCACTCTAACTCTGACTTTCATATAAAAAAATGAATCTTTTTTTTTTGAAAAAGTTCTTTGAGTTATTTTGATCTACTTTAATGGCAGTATGATAGAGAGAAAGCTTCCATCCACTAATTGACTCCCCAAAATGCCTGCAACAGCCAGAGCTGGTCCATGCTGAACCCAGGAGCCCAAAGTTCCATCCTGGTTTCCTGTGTGTATGGCAAGGGGCCAAGCATTTGGACTATCATCCGCTGCCTCCCAGGTTGCAATAGCAGGGAGCTGGATGAGAAATGGAATAGCTGGGGCTTGAATAGGCACTCCACGATGCAGGTACCCAAGAAACTGTTGAACAGCTTTGCCACAATGCCAGCCCCTATTGTAACCATTTCTCAGTGTATAGTTCGGTGGCACAAGATACACTCCAATGTTGTATACTGTTGCTGTGGATTCATTCTGAGAGGAGAAGCATGGTGGGGACAAGATGTGTGGAGTCACGACACAGACACCGGGAGTTGGGTGAAAGTGGGCAAGAGGTGAGCAGATTGCAGACTCACTGATTTCAGTTGGTGCAGCAGCTTATAGAGCCAAGGCAGCCAATCCACTCAAGGGACAGTTAATGCCCTAGCCAATCACAGCCTGTTGCCAGGCAATCTCCTTTGCTAGTTGGGTTCCAAAGCCATCTAATCACAGTCTGTTGCCAGGGAGGCTCCATTGCCATGTGGTTTCCAAAGCCATTCCCGAGTAACTGACACTCACTTGCCAGCGGCCACCTTGGCACGACCTTCTCATTCCACTACATTTCCCCCTTTTCATTTATTTTTGAGCACCGGGAGGCATGATCCTTGGCCATTACATTGCTGACCCCGTTTCTACGTGGTCTTCGTATGCAGCTGTGCCTGTCTTAGGTTCTCCTCTGGGGATCTTACCCATCATTGACTAACCAGCCCTCGAAATGGGAGACCACAGGAGTGCTTGCTCAGATGGGGGTAGGAATGAGGGACAATGGTAATCAGGAATGGCATGACTACACGCAGGCTGTTGGCTGTTCAAATGGCTGACCAGAGCTAGTGGGGTAAAAGACAGTAGCAGATGTGACTGTGGGCAGTTCCTCAGGGCAGATTGCTAGGGCAGCAGCTTGACAATTGGGAGCAGGTGCATCTGCTAACAAGGCGGACTCTCAGTCTTGACCAGCTGGTTCTGGTTGACTGTCAGTTGCAGGCTTGATGTTTCTGGCTAGTACCCAAATGGGCTGTCCCGCATTCTCTGGAAAGACACAAGCATATCCTTGGCCCTTGGTTAGCAGAAGCCTTTTTACGGGTGTTGGAATCCAGGGCCTGAATTGTGAATCCACTTCGAGATTAATGGCAAACATGTGGCTGCCCTGAGAGCCTGGGGATGACCTCACATGGGTTATCGCCTCAAGGTTATCTAAGTTCATCTCACGGATATTTGGGGGGTGGCTGACTAGGCATTGCTGTGTTGTCTGCTGTCATTTTCACTGTCAGAGCTCTCTCTCCCTAAGTCATCAACTGTTGCTTGTGAGGCAACAGCCTGGAGTGGCAGGCTCTGATCACTCACACATTCATTATATTTGGTAATCTGTGTGGGTTTCTGAGAGGGGGGTAACTTTCCCACGTTTGAGGGCTCAAGAGGAGCATACCACGTCAATTCTAGCCAAAGGAAAGACACCCACAGCACTGCTACCATAATAAAACAAATTCCTAGCACCTCAGTGGCTGATGGCATTACGCAGGGGGTTCCCTATGTTAGACGAACAGACAGTAGTGTATAAGATCGTAAGTATGGCCTGTGCTTAGGGGGGATTTCCTTGATTTGATAGGTCAAGGACATATGCCCACATGGTGTCAACAGGGTGTCACCTCTCTCCAGTGAGGGAAGATCACTAAGTTCCAAATTCTGGGATGATCAGTACCTTATGTGAATTCGCCAGGTGAACTGAAAGTAAAAGGAGCCAAAAAGCAGTGTTACACTTCTGGGCAGTGTGTGTATAACCTGGGGTCTCTTCGACCAAGGACAAGGACAAGGAAAGGGGCATACGAGGGGGTTCTGTGCTCACCCTCACAGAACCAAACAGCACACAAAACACTGAGGGGCCTACTTGCTGAAATCAAGGGGGGACCTCACCAAGTCTGACACACTGTCTCTCAGTCACATTGGGTGCCAGAAGTTGTGGATTCATTCTGAGAGGAGGAGCGTGGTGGGAGCAAGAGGCATGGAGTCACCACATAGTCCCTGGGAGTCGGGTGAAAGCAGGCCAGAGGTGAGCAGCCCGCAGACTCATTTATTTCAGTTGGCACAACAACTTAAATAGCAGAGGCAGCCAGTCCGATCAAGGAGTGGTTTATGCCCTAACAATTCACAGCCCGTTGCCAGGCAACCTCCATTGCCAGGTGCTTTCTGAAGCCATTCCTGTGTAACTGATGCTTGTTTGCCAGTGGCCATCTTGGCATGGCCTTCTCATTCCACCACAGTACACTGTCCTCTATCCAGTTCTTTTAGCTTTTCATCATCCCAAGCAGAAATCTGTATGCCTTACAAAAAACAACTGCCCATTTTCTAACTCCAGCCCCAGGGCAGATGTTGTGTCCAGATAAGTAGATCCCCAAGAAGCTATCAGCAACCCAATCACACCAAACTGCAAAAGCAGGGTTTATTCAGGAGTATAAGCCACAACAGGGACCCCATCCAACCAACTGGCACAGCGGAGGAAGGAGTGAGGCCTCGGTCTTGTTTGGGAGAGTTTTTAAAGCAAAAAAGGGCTACATCAGCAGGAAAAAAAGAGTTGCATCAGCGGGGGCTTACAGCATGGGAGCTTTGGGTGCAGGCAGTTACTTTGGCCTTGGTCTACTGAGCTAGCTATCCCTGGTAAGCTTTGATATCTCCGGAATGCCTGAATGCCTGCTTCTACAAGGACTCGGGTCTGCTATGGGAAACGGAGGCTGCTTTTTTATTGTTTTAAAATGGAGTCACTTTGGCTCTTCACAGCCTCTATTCTTCAGTAGTGTCTATGAATTCTCTATCTGGGTTTCCTCACTGAAGTGGAATCAGACAATGTCTGACATTTTGTGTCTGCTTTATTTAGTTCCATAATGTTTTCAAGGTTCAACTATGGTATGTTTCTAAATTTCTTGTTTCATGGTGATAAAATTCACATCAAATCTATCAAGTTAGTAATTTTTCAAGCTTTACTGAGATATAATTAACAAATAAAAATCATAGATTTTGATGTTGTAATATAACTATAAGTTGTGAAATTATTACTACAATCAAGTGGACACTTCCATCACCTCACATGATTACCATTTGTGTGTGTGTGTGTGTGTGTGTGTGTGGTGAGAACACGGAAGATCTACTCACCGGGGCAAACATTTGGCACAGAGGTTAACACACCAGTTGGGACATCTGCAACCCATATCAGAGTAACTGGGTTTGAGTCCCAACCCTGCTTCTAATTCCAGATTCTTGATAATGTGTACCCTGAGAGGCAGCCAGCAATGGCTCAATTACTTGGGTCCCTGCTAGATTAAATTCCTGGTTCATGGCTTCAGCCTGGCTCAGCCTTGGCTGTTGTAGATATTTGGAGTGTGAATCAATGGATGGATGACCTCTGTCAGTCTTTCTCTGTTTGTCTCCCTGCCTTTCAGAATAAATAAATACTTTTTAAATATACTCAGCAATTTATAAGTATACAATAGTTATAAATTTAGTATTGAGTCTATTTACATTGTTGCATAACCACCACCAATGTCTATCTCCAAAACATCTTTCATCTTCCCAAACTGAAGCTCTGTACCCACCAAACACTAACTCCCAGTTCTTCCACCTCCCCTGACAACCTCTGGCACCCACCATTCTACTTTCTCTATGAATTTGACTACTGTAAGTTCCAGATACAAATGCAATCATACAATATTTGTTCTTTGGGGACTGACTTCTTTTATTTAGTATAATGTATATTCATAGTTCACTCACATTGTAGCATGTGTGTGAAATTCCATCCTTTTCCAGGGTGAATAATATTCCATTGTAGCTATAGGCTGTATTATTTCATATGCCCAAGGATGCCATATTGCTCCACTTTTGGTCATTGTGGATAATGCTCCTATGAACATGAGTGCACAAGTGTTTCTTCCAGTCCCTACTTTATACTACTCCAATTTTTTTGCCTTAGCACTTTCTACACTTGAAATGTTACTGGGTCACCTTTTTGTGAGCAACCATGGCTCCCAGAACTGGAACCATTGTAGTTTCTCAATAGATATTTACTGTTAATACCTAAGATTTAAGGAAGAAGAAGAGACTGAAAATGAAATAAACAGGACCGGGGTGAAAATTTAGCCTAGTCTGAGACGCAAGCTCAGAAGCCAGCTTCCCACAGCAGAGTACCTGCGTCAAGCACTTGACTCTGGCTCCTGACTCTAGTGTCCTGCAAATGCAGACCCTGGGAGGTGGCAGTGATGGCTCAATTGATCAGGTTTCTGCCACCTACATGGGAGACCTGGATTGAATCCTGACTGCTGGCCCCTCCACCAGCTGGGCTGGTGCAGCCATCTGGGGAGTAAACAGAGTTGATGGCAACTTTCTCTGTCTCTCTCTCATTCCCTCCTTCTCACGTGAACAATAATTTAAATTTTAAAAATGGAAGATCTCCCTACCCCAATTAAACATTTAAAAGTACACTATTTTTTCTCCTCAAATACCACAAGGAAGCAGCTCCACTAACAAGTAAAGTTTAAGCAACTAGTGCTCTCAAGGGATCTAGAACTCCTGAGGTTGTTATAGTTCATCACTGAGGAAAAGAAAAAAGATAACAAGGACAGAGAGAAAAAGGTTTTGCTCCTTATACATCTGTTTCCCACATGTCCTAGAGCTAAAAGGGGATAATAATCTAAAACTTGGCTTTATATAATCTTCATGGAACCTTTTTAAATTAATTTTATTTTAATTGACAATTATATTTATATGCTTGTGGGGAAGAGTGTAATGTTTCAATGCATATATACATGGTGGAATAATTAAATGGGGCTAATTAAAGTATCCATCATCTTATTTCTTTGTGGTGTTATAACAAGACAGAAAATCCATGGGTTATTGTCAGCTGCCTTGGCCAATCAAACTCACCTGCAATGATTTGCTCTCGGAATAGAAACGATTATATTTAAATCTGCACATTTCAGGCGTGAGGCCAGTAACTACATACTAGGCTCCCAGAGGAGCTGGAAGTTACAGGTCCTGGGGCTTACTTCTAAGGAAATTATACATATTCATTAAGTTTAGGGAAGTTTCAGGCAGAGTTATGCATTTCAGAAAGGAGTAGGCACACATGCCTGCTAAGGTGTCATGTGTCTTGCATTATTTCATGTTCATCTGGTGTTGAAGACTTAACATAAAGAGAGGGGTTAGCTTCATATCAGGAAGGTGATGGTGAGGGGCCAAGCCCGGCTTCAGCACAGGTGCCACAAAGCGGCCACAGCTGAATCAGACTTGCATGCGACTCCTGCATGAAATGTGTTAACCACTGAGTGTGGCTGCATCCAATCAACGGCTTCCTCCTGGTCCTTCCCGCCCCTTTATTTGCAAGAACACCTGGTTATTCTCAGCATTTAGCCAATGATAGGCTACTTGTTTTGCTTCTGTGGGGGCAGAGAGGTGTGTTGAGCTCTCCAGCAGTTTATAACTTATGTAGTTAAAAGAGGGAAAGGGCATCACTGTCATCTGGATACTTCCTACTTCACTGGGGCCATGAGCCCTAAAGGGCTTCAAGCAGGATGCAAATGAATTTTAAGGACTGGGGAGCAGGATCCCATGGAGGTGAAAGGTCTTGCAGTAGGAGGTCCAGCTCGGGCTTTCTTGGCTACAAATGAAAATGGTTGGAAAATGAAGAAGATGGAGACCAAATAAGCAGAGAACAGGAAAGCAGATGGGTAAGTCAGCCAAACCCAGCAGAAGCTGGAGCACTCCGTCTACCAGTCGCTTGAGGTTTCAGTAGTCCTTACTCCCGCTTGTTGGCTGTCCAGTTGATCGGTCGACTTCATGGCTGGACATGTTTACCCAAACTCAGCAGGGCTGTTGGGTCACACAGACTCCCCTTGTTTCTGCCAGGAGAAAGCTCTAAGGCGATATTAACTTGCTGGATGGCTGCAGATAATGCTGGCCAGTGGTTGCCCTCAGGAAGCAAAATTTCGGGATGATGTGGTTAAGTCGTGTTTTACTGAATTCTGTAGCTTTTTTTGGTTTGATTCAAGTATGCTTCCAGCTGACTGGTAAAAATATCCACATCCTTTACCAAGTACTTAAGTCCCCTGGGCTCTCAACATCACAGTCAAATCAGTTTGTTAACCCCCAGGTAGTCGCCCCTAGAATTGTGAGCCTGGGACTTGGGGCACTCTCGTTATTTTGAGTTTCAGGCTTTTTTTTAAAAATAAACATTTATTTGAAAGGCAGAGTGACAGACAGAAGGGGAGAAAGAGAGAGGTTTACTATCCGCTGGTTCACTCCACAAGTGCCCACAACAGCTGGTGCTGGGCCAGACTGGAACTGCCTCCAGATCTCCCACGTGGGTGCAGGAACCCAAAACTTGAGTCATCGTCCACTGTTTCCCAGGTGTATTAACAGGCACTTGGATTAGAAGCAGAGCAGCCAGGATGTGAACTGGAACTCAGATACGGAATGATGTCATTGCTGGCAACAGCTTAACCCTCTGTGCAACATTGCCAGCCCCACTCCCATCTCTTTGGGGTGGTTGTGGGTGTTTGCACACAACATACACTTTTGGGTGATTCCTTGTATCCAGTCAGATTGTTTGAGAGTCATTGAAATACATCTCCATTCCATAATGAGTACGGTCACATGTAGCCTCAGCAATTTGAAAGGCACAATTGTCAGGTATAGAAAACATGTTTGTCAGGATTATAATACCAACCTTTTCCACACTGATGGAAGCCCACATGATTCTCTTCAGTGAGTGTCTGAATTAGTATCAGTAGGGGCAAGTGTTAGACAAGCTAAAAATTGGAATGAGTGCCATCTACAGGTAGGAGATTTATATAGGAAAACGTTGGCTGCTTCATCTGCTGGCTGATTGGTGCCCCTGACAACACATAACTGCTACTTCAGTGAGCCCTTTACTATCACCAGTAACTTCAGTATTAGAGTCCCCACGTGTTGTTTCTTTATTGTCTGCCATTAGAAGTCCCACTTGCCTTCCAAATAGCTCCTTAGGCATGTGGAACCAGAAACGCACACCTGGAATTGGGCTAAATGTGTACGTTTCTCCCTGAAGGCCAGTCCAAGGGCACAATCTCTATTCA